TGCGGAAAACCCTGTAAAGGATCCTGTTTACCATGTTAACGGGCAGAAAGATCCAGCAGTTTTTGGTAGCAATTTCACTTCATGGGGGGCAGTGGAGAATGAGAGTGGCCATCAAATTGACCTTAGTCTTGTTGTTGTTGTTGAAGTCACGAGTTGAATCATGGGAACATAATCCAAACTTCTGTGCTGTTCTGCATCCTCTAAACCAATGTTTCTGTGTGTAGGTAGCCCTTGTTTATCCCAACAATGACCCGGTCATGTTCATGGTGGCGTTTTATGGCTGTCTGCTAGCAGAAGTGATCCCAGTGCCTATAGAGGTACCTCTTACCAGAAAGGTAACGTTGATGGGGACTTGGAGAAGGGATAGGCTGATGTGGGATGATAACCAAGTCAGACCATCAGCCTCTGATGTCAGCAGGGTTTGGCAGCACTCAGCTGATGTCTTAGGAGTTCTTGCCGATACACTATGAAAGAGGCATAGGAGCCTGGCATTGCAGAATGTAAGACTGGGAGAATGTACTGGATACAATGGGTCCCCCTGATGCTCTGGTGAAGCCTGGTTTCTACAGCAGAGATTGCCACCTGTCCTGTAGAGAGGCATCATTTCCAACAGTACAAAGAACCCACAGCTGCCTTTTGATGTCAGGAGGAGCTGTGGGTGCTCAGCATCCCTGATACACACCTGGCACTATGGGCCTGCTGCATGCGGCATGAGTTCTGCTTGCAAGAGGGTTTTCTCTGCCCTTACCATCACTTGCACTGTGTTGCCACATTACCGCTGTTTTTAAGAGCTGTGTGAAACCGTGGGATTTCCTGAGAGAACACAGCGGCAGCAGGATAATGGCAAACGTGGCAAGGGGGGTGGTAATGAAATAATAAGCTAGGCTGGTAATGCTGTGGGATTCCCAGAGCTTTGCTTTGCTTTGTGGCCTCAACACAAGGACTGTCATGGCAACAAAAGTGTGAAATTATGGCCTCTTCCAGTTTTTGGCCAGTCGGGTCACTTGGTCAGCTTTATTGCAGTGCTTTATGTCCGTTCAACACGAATTAGTTTTGGGGGGATGGACACAACACAGGGCTTGTTTCAATGCTTTATATATATATTTCTTTTTTGCTTATGAGTTATGCTCAACATTTTAGGGTTTTGCTTAGTGAAAGCAGGCCATGTGTGCTCAATAGCTCCATGCTGGCATGCATCAGAGCAGCCCCTCTTGCCTGTGGAGGCACCAGCCTGTCACCTCCAGTCCTTCTGGTCTTGCTAGTGCAATATCATCTTTCTGTTCTCCCCTGGAGAATCATTAATTGAAGGGAACAGACTTGCCAGGCATCAGGCGCAATAGCCCTCCATATTTTTACAGTGGGGTCTCATTTTCTGCAGACTCTTATTTTCTCACAGAACTACATCTGCCACAGCTGCTCAGCCTACCCTAGGGAACAGCTCTGAGTAGGAGTGTCTCCCTGTCTCCCTGCATGCCTTCATTACGCAGACAGCATCATTTTCTAGAGTACGTTAACATACAACTCAGAAATTGTTGCATGCCCATCACTGCTGTCAGCCTGTGCTTGTTGCTTGAGTTTCAAACTATTGCCAGATGTGCAGGAGGGCAATCCCAATGAAACGGGATGTTTGTTTTTCCCAGCAGGTCCATAATGTTACCACCCAGGTACCAGAGCATTACCATACCTTGATTTTGGTACAGGTAAAATTGGCTTCAGGTTCTTCGATTGCTTGGAAGCTCTGACATTTGTTTCTTTTTCCTCAGGATGCTGGAGGTCAGCAGATTGGCTTCTTGTTGGGAAGCTGTGGCATCGCTTTGGCTCTCACCACAGAAGTGTGTCTGAAGGGGCTGCCAAAAACCCAGAACGGGGAAATCGTGCAGTTTAAAGGTTAGCTCAGTTGCAGTTTTATTTTTGCTGTAGCTCGACTCATGGCTGAGTTCCCTAATGCTAGCTAAGAATTATCTAAAACCATACACTGTTTGTTCTTTTTGGAGTGAGTGAGGTTTCCAGCAAGTCATCCTCTCTGTTTGGGATCAGGGCACGGCAATGGATTTTAGGACGAGTCAGCCTTGTACTGCTTTGATGGCATTTAGCAAGTCAGAAATCACAATCTGTCAGTGCTGGAGAGAAGGATGGTGTGAAATACAGCAGGGGACTGTCATAAAGGGGGCAGGAGTCCGCATTGCTCGAAAACCCTATATATGAAGGTGGGGCAGTGGGATGAATCTTCCAGGGAGGGACTCCCCTGTGGGTCGTTGATATGTGACCTTTCGCCCGAACATGTAAGCCAGGGACAGGATCTCCGTTTGTCACATGGCATCAGTCAGCGAAAGCTGCACAGCAATCCCTTCCTGATGAGTGGTTCCTGGTTCTGTGGGAAAGTAAACTCAGGTCCAAGATACAAGTCACTTCTTCAGACTGCATTTTCAACAGACTATGCATTTGTCTGTTTAGTCCTGCTTCTGGCAAACACATCCCTCAGTGAGATGGGCAAACAGTTGTCTCCTTGCAAGTGGCAGAGGAATGGTGATTTCTTCGACTAAGCAGGCTTTGTGTTCCCTTTGATTTTCGCTCTAGGTTGGCCCAGGCTCAAATGGGTTGTGACAGACTCAAAGTATCTTTCCAAGTCACCAAAGGACTGGCAGCCCAACATCTCAGCTGCAGGAACTGAGCCAGCTTATATTGAGGTACGGAGTGGATGAGAATTGGGCTCCTCTTCTGAATGTAATGAGTAGAAGCCAAAGTAATGGCAGTTTGAATAATCCCAGCATTTTACTTTACACGGAGAAACAATGCGGCCTCCTAGTGAGTCCTGTGGATGCACCTGCACAAACAGGTCCTTTTTGAATGTCTCAGTTAATGTACAGAAGAGAGAGACCACTCTGACTCATGAGGGCTTCACCTCGCAGTAACCCCCTTCACATGCAAGGTCCAGGGTTCCCAATTTGGCTACGTTTTGTGTTTTCCAGTACAAGACCAGCAAGGAAGGCAGCGTGATGGGCGTGACAGTGTCTCGAATTGCCATGCTGTCTCATTGTCAGGCTCTGTCTCAGGCCTGCAACTACTCAGAAGGTGAGCAGTGCTCCATGGCAGTGTTGTGCCTGATGGGGAGGGTAGGGGGACAAGCTCAGTTTGCAGTGAGCTTTCTCTCCATGCTCATTTATGTGGATTTTCAAATCTAGCTTTGGGTGCTGGGATCATCTTTTTCCTAAATCAGAAGATTGCAGCATAAACTGAGACAAAGGGGTGCTCATAAATATCTCTGCTTGGAGAAAAAGATGATGGGCTTTTAAGCTTGCCTGGAATGTCAGCAAATCCATACCCTGGGGAAGCTTCCTCTGAGAAGTGTCCAGTTGTGCTCCCTCTGACTTGCACTGTGGAAGCATGTGTACAGACCAGGTCCTTCCCAGGAAACCAGGCCCCAAACCATGTAGAGCTTTACAGGCTCAAGCAGTTAGAGAGCAGAAATGACCAGAGGAGATGCATCAAGCTGTGCTGCAGGAGGTGTTCTTGGTCTGCTCTGCCTACCAAATCAGAAAGTAATATACATACCCTGTAGCTCAGAGCGCCTGCTGATGAGCTGTACGTCGTCGTTTCTGTCTGAGATGCAAGTGCATGCATTCTGGGGGCTGTTGCTTTCGTTTCCCTGACTGCTGATAGTCCGTCTTCCAAAGCCCTGGAATGGCGGCCCTGTAACCTTGTCCTCTTCTGCCCCTTGTGCTTAATTAGGCTAAGACACTTGGGTATTCCAGGATCAGCATATAAATGCCTGGCTGGGCTAGAATGTAATTGTCTTGAAGCTTTTTACATGTACTCTCTTACATTCACGTTTGATCATAGATACATTAGCTCAGTGCCTTGTCATCTTCTTTACTGCACTGCATGCATACATCTGCATCTGCTGGATTTGTATTTGCATAATTAGGAGCTCTGACTATTTAAACGGTGTAAGAAGGCAAGAAGATTAGCCTCCGTGCTTGCAGTTTGCAGAATGGCTGCCAGTCTGCCCTGTCATGGAACCAGTTTGCTGCTTTCTTATCTGTCTAGCTTAATGCAGGCATTTGCATGGTGTTTACCTTATCCACCATACAAAAGATCACTGATGTTTGGTTTTGCTGAGCTTAAAAGGGAATGGAGATTTTCAAAGGAGTGTAAGGAAGTCAACAGGGTGGAAAGACCAGGGTTGTGCTCACCTCTATTGTAGCATCGCTGTTCCTCTTTCTGCCTAAAGTGAGGCACCCCTTCACCTGCCAGTCTGACACCAGGAGGGGCTGCCTCCGGGAGCTTGCTTGGGAAAGGGGCCTGTCACTGCCAGCAATGCAGCTCCACGTACCTGCCCGTCTGCTCAGTTTCATGCTGGTATCACAACTTGCCTCTTTCAGGTGAAGCCGTAGTGAATGTTCTGGATTTCAAGAAGGATGCAGGGCTCTGGCATGGCATACTGACGGTGAGTGGTGCTTCAGGGGATAGGTGCAGAGGACCGTTGTTCTGAATGCTCTGTAGCCCTTCCAGATTGTAATGTGAGGTGTATTAAGGATGAGAGTTTGGGTCCAATTTAGTCCTGGGTCCTACTGTACCACTCCCATCTACATTCTCTGCCAAAAGTGGTAGCAGCTTTAGCTTAGTTGCTAGGCTTTCCTGTAAATTTGAATGATGCTTTGATATACGGTCTTGCAGGAAGGGTGTAAATTTCCCCAGGACTTTTTTTCTAGTGGGGGGAGACAGGGAAATGAGATGGGGAAGGCAAGTTCTGTCTGACTTGTATTAACTGTGTGGTGTTGGCACTTCCCTGCAAGTCTTCGTTTCTGCTTTTCAGAATGTAATGAACAAGCTGCACACCATCAGCGTGCCCTATTCTGTGATGAAAACCTGCCCCCTCTCGTGGGTGCAGCGAGTTCACGCTCACAAAGGTACTGTGTGTCCTTTATGGCTTTCCAGGTGAACAAGAAGCATCAGAGGTGTGAGTTCTGTTGTGCTTAGGAGCCTGTCTGAGTAGTGTTCAGAAATGTGTCCCTTGAGCTCACTTCCATGTGTGCACAGCACCCTAATGCTGCATGGCTGACTGAGGGCAAACCCCATCACCCTGATGGCAAATGGCCTCCATGCGCAGAGGCCCCCTTGGCCCGAACCCTCAGCCGTGGCATGCCAGGCTGTGACCAACGTGCTCACTGGTGGACCTGCAGCACTGGTGAGACGTGCAGGCCCGACTCCCAGTTCAGAGGCTGTCTGGTGTCAGATCTTTCACGCTTCACTGAAAATCTTGCACAGTGGTTTTCTCTGTTGTAACATCTCCATTTGTGTCCTTGTTTTGCAGCAAAGGTGGCTTTAGTGAAATGTCGTGACCTGCACTGGGCCATGATGGCTCATCGGGACCAAAGAGATGTCAGCCTGAGTTCCCTGCGGATGCTGATTGTAACGGATGGTGCAAACCCCTGTGAGTATTCCAGAGGGAGATTCCCCTGGTCATTCTTGCCACGGACTCAGCTCAGGTTCCTTCTGTGTACCGACTTCCAGGGACAAAATGATGGTCTTCAACTAACAGGCCAGAAAGGCAAGCCTTGGCTCTCTAGTGCAAAGGCAAGGGTGCCAGATGCTGTGCCTGACCTGAACTTTCTGCGGTTCTCAGACTTTACAGTTGTAGAGCCTACTTTTTTAAAATGTGTTTTCTCTCTATCCAGACCTGCACAATTAAAAGAAAATCAGTTGCCTATCCCAAAATCTTTTGAACATCTATTCTTAAATACACCCTCTAGAATTAGGTGCACAGGCAATGCTTCTCCCTAAACTTGTTCAGTTGTAACAGTTGTAGGTGAAATATTAGGGTGGGGTGGGGGAAAGAGGGCTTAGCAAGGAAGCAGTGGCAGCTCTGCAGTAGAACGCAGGGAGTTCTGATGAGAGGATTAAAAGGTTAGTGCGGTGATTCATCTAGCAGGCCAGAGAACAGGAAGAGATGCATTAGCTGGCCATGTGGCAGAGGGGTGTGGGGGTGAGTGGTTTTAGATTGCTCACAGGGGATGAAGAGAAGGATTTTAAAAATGGTGTTGAAAGAAATGAGCAACAGATCTGCATTGCATGCTGCTGATTATAGGGCTTAATGAATGTCTGTCCAGATGGTACCAACTGGAGGGATGAGACTGAAATACTACTAGGGATGTTTTGGATGTGTACACAGAAGAGAAACAGCCAGGGAACGTGCTATTTTAGGGGAGATGGAAACTATTTCAGTCCTCTGAGTGCATTCTCTAGCAGGGCATTATTTGGAAATTCGAGGTATCTGTTTGAGTCCATTCTGTAGCAGAAGCAATTTCTTTGCAGTAAAGATGCAAACTCAAAAGATGTGTAAGAGATTGTGGTTGTGAGGTTGCTATTTTTACTCATTCAGCATTTGAAACCCCTTTAGCTAGCTGTGTTGTGTTGTGTTGTGAGGCTTTCCTCAGTAGGAGTGTTCTCTCTTTCTCTGTATACCAACTGTCAGAGGACACGCTCTAAATTAAGTTGTGCAACTTGATCCAGGATTACAGAAATACGGTACAACATGGCTGAACGGAAGTCAGCTTTTGAGAGGATGCACTGAAGCATTAACTGCTTTTACAAGCAACTGTAATAGAATTTTTAAAAGTGCCTCAATGACTAAGAGCAGACAAGGTTCCTTGGGTGAATTTGATATCTTTTATTAGACCAACCCAAATAGCTGGAGAATAGTTATTAAGCAAGCTTTTGGGTTCAATGACTAAGAAGAACTTGACGTCTTGACCTTTGAAGATGGTACTCTTTTGGAAATGATACTGTATTTAGGGATGTTGTGAACTGCAAGTGTATGCATTTCCAGGTCATTTCTATGCAGAATGTTTCTTGTTTCGATTGCGAGTTCTGAGTAACAGTCTGAAATGCTGTCTTGCCTTCCAGGGTCTGTTTCTTCATGTGATGCTTTCCTGAGTTTATTTCAGAATCATGGGCTTAAACCTGAAGCAATTTGTCCATGTGCCACATCTCCAGAAGCAATGACTGTAGCAATTCGGAGGTATGGGAATATGTAGCATCTCATTAAAGTACATCTGTATTTAAAAGGAGATGGCCCAATTAAAAATGTTTCTAAAATAATTTCCTTATCTATATTGTGAATGGTGAGACTTTGATTTAAAAACCGAGCTTCTTACAGTTCATTTTTGCTTCAGCTCAAGGCTGAAGTTAGTTTCTTTTTGTTTTTTGTATAGGTTTCAGCCAGTTTCATTTTTAGGTCCTTGAGGAAGATTCTTTGAAAACTGGTCCTAAGGAATTAAAAAAAAAATATTTCTATCTTAAGCTTTGCTTTTATCTTAAGCATATTTTACTGAGTCTAAATATTTAGCCTGTACAAGACCAGCCTTGTCTCTTTAAATAGTAATACTGTATGTTTTCCATGTGCAGTGAGTCACTCTCTTAATATGTGTTTACATGCATCCAGTGTTCTTTACTGACTTCAGTGGAGCTTGTGAGGTTGGGCACATGCTCACGGGAATCAGGGCCTTGAATGGTCCCCTCTTAGGTATGAGAGCCTTTGGTATTTCCCCCCCCCTTGCTGTTGTGGGGCTATATGTGTATATCTGCAGTGGTATTTGCTCCCCTCTGCAGCAAGCAGAGCAGCAGTGACCCAGTCCCAGAGCTGGCACATCCAACAGATTAAGCTGATGACAGGGTAGAAGGGGTGCTACAGAAGGCTGATTACTGGCTCTCCCGGCACTCATGCCACAGACCAGTATGGTTCTCCCAAGCAGTAGCTTCCGCTTCTGTCCTGAAAATTAATTTAGTTAATGAAGGCTTTCAGAAATGTGCATCCCCTTGTGTTGCTGTGATGTTGTGCATTTCCCATCAAGGTCTAATAATATTTTTAAGGATGATTTAGCTTACTAGTCTGTTTCCTTCTAAGGCCTGGTGTCCCTGGGGCACCGTTACCTGGAAGAGCCATCCTGTCCATGAATGGGCTGAGTTACAGCGTGATCCGTGTAAACACGGAAGACAAAAACTCTGCTCTCACCGTGCAAGATGTTGGCCACGTGATGCCTGGAGGTAAGAGTGTATGGGTGCCCGCTTGTTCCATAAACACTCTTCAGGGGACAGCAAGGACACAGCAGTGACAGCACAGGACTAGGGATGTTATCTCAGTTCCCAGAATAAGAGGCTCAGACTTGGCTTCCTATACTGGTCCTGCTGCTGTCTTGAGTGGCGGGGACAGCTTTTAATCTCTCCACATCTTATCTTATCCATCTGTAAAATGGACAGATTTTCCTACCATAGCCAAGGTAGGTGTAGGCTTAGCGGTGGTCAAGCACTGTGGACCCTTGCAGGAAAGGCCATGTCTCAGTAGCAGCCTTTTTCTTAGTTTACTCCTAAGAGCCAGGCATCTCGCCCAAGCACAACAGCAGCTTGATAACTGAGCACACTCCAGCTGCCTGCTGTTGCATACCTAAGCACATGGCACACCTTGTTGCGAAACCCTTGATTTCAAGAGGAAGATCCCAGCGATGTGTCTGGACGTGTTCAGCTCCAGCATCCGGAGACTTGAGTCCCTAGTCGCATTTTCATAAAATACTAATTATCCCTCTCACTTAACTGTGTCAGGCAGTGTTCTAAAAAAGGGCCCCTGAGCCCTTCTTAAGAAGTTCTACAGTTGTGTGCGCTTTGCTTTAGGAATGATGTGCATCGTGAAACCTGATGGGCCGCCCCAGCTCTGTAAAACGGACGAGATTGGTGAAATCTGTGTTAGCCTCCGAGCAGGAGGGATGATGTATTACGGACTGGCTGGGGTGACAAAGAACACGTTTGAGGTACGTTTGTGTGGCACATCTTGCCTTCTCTCTTGTTGAAATTCAGCAACTGCTTTCAGTGTGGAATTGACCTTACTGCAGAATCTTCTAATTTCTGTAATAGCCAAGACGACATTAATGCTTGGGCTTTGGACACAGGGGGAAGCCTTGCCTGGAAGGCTAATTGCAATTAGCAAAAAGGAGAGCAGACAATGCCTAATGTTTCTCACTGCTGAGGAATAATAGAGGAAGCTTCTTCTGCAGATAAATGAGCAGCAGGCGCTCTGCATTTACTGTGCTCCAGTTCATAACAGATAGCTTGCCAGTAGAGTCCTCACGTGCATGGTCTAGCCAGGCTTGTGCTACTGAGTGATCTTTTTTCTCTCCTAATTAATGCCAGTGGCAGGTTCATGTAAGTGAAGACTGCTGCAGGGAAACACTGCGCTGGAGGCTGGTACTTTGCAGAGGGAAACCTGGTAGCAGAAGGGAATTTATTTTGCAGTTTTACTTGCATCTAGCATAATCTTTGTAGCAGTTCAAGCTGGGGAATAGTCCTTTGTAGCCTAGATTGAGACTGTGCTATCTTTAAGTCCTCTCCTTCTCTTTCAGGTCATCCCTGTGAATTCGGCTGGTTCTCCAGTGGGTGATGTGCCATTCGTCCGCTCAGGCTTGCTGGGGTTTGTTGGGCCTGTACGTCATGTTGCCTTTGTGCTTGTATTGGAGGTTTTGTTCGCTGTTCATGATTACAGCTGCAAATAGTGCAGAGCAGTTGAGGACAGAAGTAAATTGTTTAAAACTGCCGTTTTGGATGTGGATGACTGACTGAGCTGGTCGATTCCCACCTGCTTAATCTTAGTTTAATTTGGAATATTTGATCAAAATTTACTCTTGAAGAACACAATCTAAAAAGATTCCTTTTACAGATATTTAGGAAAATGCTTTAAGTCTAACAGCTGGAGTGCATGGATATATTTGTTAAAGATGCGTAAGCCTACAAAAGCATCTGAGAAATGTGTGTAATTATTTGCTGATATCTTTCACCCCTCAGGGTAGCTTGGTGTTTGTGGTTGGAAAAATGGATGGATTGCTGACAGTTAGCGGACGCAGACACAATGCTGACGACATTGTAGCAACTGGGTTGGCTGTTGAATCAATAAAGACAGTCTACAGAGGAAGGTTAGTGAGATGAAACCTCTTTCTCTTCCCACTGCAAATAACACACGATCAGGCAATTACATTACGATCCGTCTGTTTTTTCTAAGAGTAACTGGGTCCATCTGGGCCCTCTTGTAGTAAGTGTGTCTTTGAATAGTCAGTCTCCCTAGTAATTGGCCCATCAAGCCTGAGTATCTTGTCTGGCAGGAATCTGTTCCAGCTAGAGGAAACGAGGTGTCAGAAAACACTGTGCAGGGAGCTGCAGGATAACCAGCCCTGTGGAGAGTTCCCTTCTGCCCCCTCATTGTTAACTGCTGACTCATGTCCTGCCGCAGGCAGGTTTTTATCCCTTTCCCAAGGAATTTTGTTTTCTTTAACATTGACATTGGGTAAAAGCATATTTTCTAATTTTCTAAAGGCCTGAAAGGACTTGGGAGCCTGAGTTTCAGTGACTGCCAGTGGGATTTAGGTTCTTAGGGCAAACATTTCAAAAATGCCTATTATACCCATGTCAGTTTAGCACTATATTATGGACTGGAATAGAGATGTGATGGCTAGAGTGGAAAAGGAAGCTGCTGGGAAGAATACAGTAGCTGCTCCACAGAGTGGGATGGTTGACTTTCTCTGGCCAGTCAAACTTCCTGCTCAACCTCCTGGTGGCGTCTCTTTTCTCCAGCCTTGGAGCTTTTGAAGCTGTGTTCTCTTCTGCTAGCATGTAGTGTGTGTCCCTCTCCTTGGCTCTTCAGAACATGAGCATTTCCAGGAGGTGGCATGGGAGGTCCTGTCAATGCCTTTCTCTCCCTTCAGGATTGCTGTATTCTCAGTCTCTGTGTTTTATGACGAGCGGATTGTGGTGGTGGCAGAACAGCGGCCGGACGCTTCTGAGGAGGACAGTTTCCAGTGGATGAGCCGAGTGCTGCAGGTTAGAGCCAAGCAGTTTTGCTGGGTGAGGTGTGGCTCCCTTCAGCCAGGTGGCACAGGCATATGCCAGACAGAGCCTGGCATCTGTCGTCACACTTTCTCAGGCAGCAGCAAGAAGCCAGGTCATTGACAGAGTGGTGTGGATGGGCTCTTTGGACCAGATGTCCTGGGGGTCCTGAATAGACAGATGTGGAACATGGCATAACCCCTGATGGGAGTGGGTCAGTGTTAACTGGACCCAAAGGCAGGCACCCAGGTACTAGCATGCTGACACTGTGTTCTGCCTTTCTGCGTGTTGTTTACAGCACAGCAACACGGTTTACCCCACCCTGGCAAGGTCTTTAGGCATGTTGCTGAAACAGAAGGGAGGTAACTTCCTCCCTCTGGTCCGGAGATGCTTGCCAGAGCTCCAAGGGGCAGCAAGGAGGCTTCTTTCAGGCATCTGTTTATAGATGCATGTTAAATCAAGCAAACAGCTAGATGCTGTTGCTCTTGACAGCTTTATGCTAGCTTTGCCCAGCACATGTTGGTGGGCCTATGAGTCAGTGGTGTTGTGTCCTGGTTTATTTTTGAGAGAAATTCTTGTTGTAGTGTGCATTTTACTAGACCAGGATCCGGCTGTGCTAGACGATGTTGCAAACAGGGCAGATAGGATCTGACAAACACAGGAGCATCTGTTAACATCCAGTATGAGCAACTTTCTCTCCCTTCCCTAGGCAATTGACAGCATTCACCAAGTCGGTATATATTGCCTTGCTCTGGTACCAGCCAACACGTTGCCAAAAACTCCACTTGGAGGGATTCATCTCTCTCAAACCAAACAGCACTTTTTGGAGGGTTCACTGCACCCCTGTAACATCCTCATGTGCCCGCACACGTGTGTGACCAACTTGCCAAAACCCAGGCAGAAACAACCAGGTAATGCAGAGCTGCTGCTTGCTATCGGGAATGCTGGCCAGCAAGGGATAAACGATGGAGTTCATTGCCTCAGGCCTGGGAAATTAGTCTGATGTCTTTGCAAGGGAAGCATGAGTTAATCACTGTTTTTGCTGTTGGGGACCTCCCAGCCTGCCATCGTGGGCTGTTTGCAGCCTTTCTTTGATGCTTCTGTTGCTCAGGAGCTGATTTCAAACCCTACCCTAGCAGACTTGTGATCGATGGGTAAGAAGCACCTGAAAGATGAGGAGTTGGCTAAAAACTCTTCTGCACCTCTAAGGCTCCCTTCATCGGTTGCTGTGGCAGTCGAATGCTGAGAGGAGCCTTGCCCTGGGGAGCAGCCTTCTATTCCCGAGCCCAGGCCTTGCTGCCTACCAGAGGCTGTGACTCCGGGCCACTGAACTGTCCCCTCGTATCTTGGCTTACAGACTGATTGTGGACAGTCGGTGTACCACAGAGCCTCTTTCACAGGGTTCCCTAATCAGAGTAGCCCCAGGGCTGGGTTTTTTCTCTCTGCTGTAGTGCCTGAGAATCACTAGGATATTTCCAGTTTCTTGCTGACTGACCTGCCTGCTCCCCAGGCATTTTCCTCAGCAGTGAAATCACAGAGTATCTCTTTGTGGAGGAAAATGAACACAAAGGATCGCCAAGGGCTTTATAAACCTCACAGATTAACTTTCCTTTGTTGGTGGAGCATTACATTTTTGGCTAGCCCCAGTTCTCAGGTGGGAGAAACTTGAATCTTTCCCAAGGTAAAATGACTTGCTCAAAGCCATGTAGTGAGTCGCTGGCAGTGCCAGGAGCCCTCACAGCCTTTCCTTGCTTTAATCAATAGCTTGTACCACTGCACAGTAAAATATGAAATACCTTCATTGCCTGCTTCACCAAGTCTGTGCTGTTCCTCTTTGTCAACAGGTGTTGGCCCTGCTTCTGTGCTGGTGGGGAACCTGGTTGCTGGGAAGCGTATTGCTCAGGCCTCTGGGAGAGACCTTGGACAAATAGAAGACAACGATCTGGTTAAAAAGGTAAATCTCTGCAGCCAGACAATAGTCGTGGGCAGTGAGTGGGGAAGAATCTTGCCCCACAGCTGTGTAAATGCAGTGAGCAGTGGTGTAAGGCATGCAGAAGTGTCATTCTGGGAGTACAAGTGCTGGCACTCACAACTTCCTCTTGTTGCAGCACCAGTTCCTGACGGAGGTGTTACAGTGGAGAGCTCAAGCAACCCCTG